AGGCCAGCGTACCCCCCTACAGGTCGGTCTGCGCGCGCACGCCCCGCACCGGCCGCATCGGGGTCCGAGTTAACCGTCGGGTCTTTCGCTCCGCAGAGAGTACCACCACGAGCTGCTGAAGACACAGGGGGTGCGGCGCTGCATGGCTTTCATCCACAAGATTAGCTACCATATGTTGCAGAAGGTGTACCTCACGCTGCTCGAGCCCGAGGTACGCGACTCGCCTCGCCTCGCCTCCAGTCATCCTGGCCAGTGATTCAGGAATCTAGAGGGGAAAATATACGAACGTGATTTTTATTTAGGAATCGGGCGCGGATGAGAAGACGTACGAGCTGCGTCGCTACGGCTGCTGGTCGCCGGAGAGCGTGGCCATGCGGCTGCCGTGGTACCGCAGCCACTTCATCCTGCTCAACTGCATCTGCATGGAGGCCGTGCACGACATCCTCACGCTGCGCCTCGACACGCGCCCCGCCAACCCCTCCTGCCTCACCGTGAAGCAGGTGAGCCGAGCGACGGCGACACAATACTTTCATTACATACGATCGACGTTGACGTCCGCCGTGTTCTTCCTCGTGCAGCTGATCCACGAGCTGAAGGAGGAGCTGGACATCGCCACGGAGATCCGCAGCGCGTTCGTGCGGCACGCGGCGGCGGCGCTGCGCGGCGTGCGGGCCCGCGACCTCGTGCAAGACCAGCTGCGCACGCTGCTGGTCACCTACGACTCCAGCCTCGACACCGCCATGCAGGTGCCGCCCCCCTCCCCGCCGCCACCACGGTTGCGCGTAACTGGGAACGTTCAACTAGAGTTAATTCGGAAATATGTCAACAATAAATCTAGTTCTACGTTAACTTACTGCAGCATGATGTGTTGTCCCGCAGCAATACCTGTCGTACCTGGGCACGATCGCGGACACGGAGGCCATGCCGCGCGCCCAGCTCGCCGCAGAGTGGGCCTTCGCCGCCCGCCTCGCCGCCCGCGCGCCCCGCGCCGCCGCCCCCGCACCCCCCGCCTTCGTGTACGTTGCGCTCCTCCCCGCCCTCATAATGTTGTGATGGCGGTACGTAAGATATATAAACATCAGGGTCTGCCTGTGCGCAGGGAGATCGCGTGCCGGCAGCTGCACCGGCTGGTGCGCCGCTTCGACGACAAGTTCGCGGACCTGGCGCACGTGAACACCGCCGCGGAGCCCGAGGGGCCCAGGTGCTCCGCTCTTTATATAAATATTTTCCATTTAAATTGAAATATATCTTGTCGTTTCGTAAAATTGGTAACAAAGCGAGCGGTGCGTGCGCAGGTACACGGTGTTCGCGCTGTGCCGCGCCGCGCAGCAGGTGTACGCGGGCGAGCGCGAGGCCGTGCTGCAAGCTGCGCAGGCGGCCCGCGCGCTCGCCGCCCGCCTGCCGCGCCGCCACCGCGCCCTGCGCGCACCGCTATACGTCAGTCTTTCAAACGAATAACAACATTGGAATTATTATACCATTTGCATGTGGTCACTAGTGTACGAAAATATGCTTTTTCCGGCCGCAGGAGAGCCTGATGCGTCTGCGAGACTGCCTGGTGCGGCACACGGAGAACATCCTGGAGCACAGCGGCAGCGCGGTGGTGGAGGCCGAACCCGCGGACGGCACCGCGGCGCGCGTGCGCGAGCTGCTGCTGCAGGGCTACAAACTCGGCTTCGAGGTGACAACCGCGTACATCACGCCCACCCCACCGCACGGTCCACGACCACCACACAGACCACGCACACCACACGCACTAGTCACATCGACTACAACAAGATATGCAGAGTTCGCATCTCTGCCAGACTCGTAGACCAGACCTCAGTGTGCGAGTCCGCTAAATTGTAGCCGTAGCTGCTTCAGCGGCGATTCGGTGCGGGCCCGGGCTAAGGGCGGTGTGTGTCCGCAGCTGCACCGCGAGCTGTGCCGGCTGGCGGCGCCGCCCCCCACCCCGAGCGGGCCGGGTGGACGCTCGCGCCCCGCCTCGCTGCAGCCTGCACGCGCGCCCCCCGCGCACCCGCCGCGCCCTCGCCCCGGCACCGTCATTATAAACGAGTGCTACTCTCCCTTGGTATGCGGGATGCGCGACTGCAGCACGCCTGTGTTCGCGTGTCCGGACATTTAAGCTCCGTGGTGTTGCCTCGTTGTGCTTAAATAGATTGTGTTTCGATTTTTATACGTCCGCTAACAATTTGTTTCTTATAAAAGTAATCGTACGGGGACGGGGACGGGGATGGGGTGTCGGGCACACGAGGAGGCGGCAGTATGATGCGTAGTGTATCGCCGGCGAGTGTTGTGTGTATGTGTAGCTTGTAGTGTGCGGCGGCGCGCAGTGCAGCCGCCATCTTCCTTGTTAATGTGTTTGAGTTGTGCATAAGTCAGGTTTTTGTCCGGTGATTGTTAAATAATTCGATATCTGTAAAAACGCCATCAATAGCGCCCCGATCGCATGACAGATTGTGGATTCCCTGGGAACAAACGTGTAAGCATAAATATTAAGTATAATGTGCGACTCGGGGCGCGGGGCCGGTGATCGCTTCAATGTCAGTGTGGCCTTTCCATGTGGGACACTTTGCGTTCAGCTCGTATTGTTGTTCAGCTATGTGTTTGATATTCGACAGGTACACAAGGAGTTGCACCGGCTGGCCAACGAGTCTGGCGGTGCGGGCGCGGCGGTGGGCGCGGTGGGCGCGGTGGGCGCGGCGGGCGCGGCGGGCGCGGCGGGCGCGGTGGGCGGTGGGCGTGGGCGTGCCGCGCGCTTTGCCCGCGCCGAGAGCGTCACGGAGGAGGGCGCGTTCGACTGCCGACCGTTCGAAAGCGCGTCAGAGTCCGCCGCCGCTGCAGCCGATCGAGTAAATTGCCTACGACTGAAATCTACTTAATTTCTAACAAAAACAAGCCGCTGTTTTTGCATAGATTTGTCAAGTTTTATCGTTAATTACAATATTTATGTAAAGCAAGAAGTTTAAAACGACAAACAATTCTACAAGGTCGTTGCGCGCGATGCAGAAATACTAGAATCGATAGTATGCTTTATTTCATAATTAAAAAATTTGCTGTGTTTCGTATCCAAATGAATACTGGCGAGGTGGATACGTCGTGATCGGTCAATGAACGGTTCACAACTGCGACGAGTTTCATGATTAAACTGATTTGCATACTGAAACTGTTACAGGAAGGGGACGATTTAGAATATTTGCTATCGGGAGGGCGGCAGGTGGAGGCGGAGGAGGAGGAGGCGGAGGAGGGGGAGGCGGAGGGTGCGGGCGAGGAGGCGTGGGCGGCGCAGGTGGCCCGCGCCGTCATCCAGTTCGCGCGCTGCTGGATGCGCTTCGTGGTGGAGCGGTGCGAGCGCGGCCGCGGTCTGCGCCCCAGGTCGGGCGTCTCTCGCCTCCGCTGGCTCTGCGCATTCGAAGGTGTCGTCACGTAATATTAAACTGATGGTCGGACGTGACGTTACAGGTGGGCGAGTCAGGGCCTGGAGTTCCTGATGCTGGCCTGCGACCCGTGGAACACCCGGCACCTGAGCGACGACGAGTTCGAGGTACGCGCTCCCTCGCTTTCCGCCGCTCGCGATCTCCTCCTAGTGAATGATCCGAAACGTGATGGAATAATTAATGTGTGGTGCACAGGAGTTGAAGCAGCTGATGGACGGGTGCATCTCGCACGTGATCGGCTCGCGACCGCCCGCGCAGGCCGAGCCCCCGCGCCGCCCCCGCCGCCGCCTGCAGGTGAGACCGGCCCCCGCCGCTTGCCCCGCTCCGCCCCACTCCGCCCCACTCCGCCCCACTCCGCCCCACTCCGCCCCGCCCCGTGCCTCACGTTCTATTTTTACGTCATTTTTTCAGAGTCCACTTCCAGCCGGGAGCGGCGAGGCCAGCCCCGCCAGCCCCTCCGGCCATGAGGGTTCCGCGCCGGCCAGCCCCCTGGTGGACTCGGAGCCGCCCTCGTTCGTAAACATCGAGCACGCCGGTGAGGGGTCCGCCGCAGTAGAGTGCGGGGCGGTGGCGGTGGCGCGGCGCGTGCGCGAGGCGGTGTGGCGGCTGGACGCGGCGCGGGATGCGGCGCTGCGCGAGCGGCGGCTGGTGGGGCGCGCGCTGCCGGCGCTCGTGCCCACCTACGAGCCCAAGCTGCGCCAGCTCACCTTCAAGTGGCAGCGCGGCCTCAAGATAGGCGCCGGCACCTTCGGGAAGGTCTGTTATCGTTTCGCTTTGATTTTTTTTTTATTCGGAGTTCCGTGGAATATCGAATATTGTAAGGTGACATATTGAGTCGGCCGCGCCCAGGTGTACACGGTGGTGAACACGGAGAGCGGGCAGCTGCTGGCCATGAAGGAGCTGAGCGTGGGCGCGGGCGACCGGCGCGCGCTGCAGCGGGCCGCCAACGAGCTGCGCGTGCTCGAGGGCGTGCTGCACCCCCACCTCGTGCGCTACTACGGCTGCGAGCTGCACCGCGTGAGTACCCCGCACCCCGCACCCCACACCCCACACCCCACACCCCACACCCCGCGTAACGGCAACCACACTCTGCCGGCAGGAGGAGATGCTGCTGTTCATGGAGCTGTGTGTGGAGGGCTCGCTGGAGGCGCTGGTGGGGGCGTCCGGCGCGCTTGCCGAGCCCACCGTGCGCCGTTACACCAAGCAGCTGGTGAGCGCCGTGGCGGAGCTGCACTCGCGCGGCATCGCCCACCGGGACATCAAGAGTGAGTGTCCGCCCCACCCGGCACGCCCAGGCACGCCCGGGCACGCCCCGGTGCTCGCACTGGAAGGTGTGGTTTGACGTACACCATGTGTTGTCAGGCGGCAACATCTTCCTGACGAACGAGGGGCACTGCCTGAAGCTGGGCGACTTCGGGTGCGCCGTCAAGATCCGCGCCAACACCACCGCGCCCGGCGAGCTGCAGGGCTTCGTCGGCACTCAGGGTAATGTCTGGTCCACATGTTGCGTGCCGTGTTGCTAACCCGCATGTTGTAACCGCGTGTCGTGTGCTCGTGCGCAGCGTACATGGCGCCCGAGGTGTTCATGAAGTCCTCGGGTCACGGGCGCGCCGCCGACGTGTGGTCGCTGGGCTGCGTCGTCACCGAGATGGCCTCGGGCAAGGTATGGCGCACTCCTGCCCTCTCCTGCCCTCTCCTGCCCGCTCTCTGACGCATGAGTCCCGCCTCGCAGATGTATCAGATGGTTTGCGTTTGCGCAGCGGCCGTTCCCGGAGTACGACAGCAACTACCAGATAATGTTCGTGGTGGGCATGGGGGGAGGGCCCGCGCTGCCGGACGCGCTGTCTCCGGAGGGGCGCGACTTCTGCGCGCGCTGCCTCACGCACGACCCCGACCTGCGCCCGCGCGCCGCAGACCTCGCGCTGCACCACTTCCTGCTGGTGCGTACTCCTTCCCCATCCCCACCACTCAACACTACCATTTATCATTGCCCGGTTATAGTTAGTTTATTCTGCGACGAAAAGAAACATTTTGCCTTCATTTAATGTTTATCTTAGTGACAGATGACAGGTGACAGATGACAGATGACAGGTGACAGATGACAGGTGACAGTCGCGTGCATTGCACACTTTCATCAATACAAACTTCAGTTCGTGCTACAGTACTGAAGGGACCGAAATTTATACGTCCATGTGCGATTCCGTTCTCGATTTACGAATTTCATTTATCCTAAGTTCTTACGGTGAAGAAAACCATCGTGATGCAACCCGCACTGGACCGGCGTGGTGACTCGTGACTTGGGTAGAGTCTGATCCCCTCAGTGGGGGACATGAGCGAGCCGATGACGGCTGCGAGATGTTTTATCGTTACACTGAGCGTCGCTTGGACTAGATAGATGTTGTGATGTGGCGGGTGATGCCCGGCTTGTAGGTGAAGGCGGACGAGGACTGCAGGTGCGAGCCCGCCTACCTCATGGCGTGACCGCGCCCAGGCCCTCCGCCCTGCGCCCTGGCTCTCCGCCCTACGCCCTGCGCCCTGCGCCCTGCGCCCTGGCCCTGGCCCTGCGCTCTGCGCCCTGGCCCTGGCCCTGCGCTCTGCGCCCTGGCCCTGCGCCCTGCGACACCACTTCCACATAAATACACGTAGCTAGGTATATATACTACTCAAAACAAAATAAGGGCCACTAAGATTTTATGCTGTACCATGAAAACAATAAAGATATTATATTGTGTTGGTTATATAATATAGGCTAACTATTTAGGTTAGGTACACGTTGTCAGCAGTAGGTGGTGTTGTAACTAACGGACAGTTACTGTATGATTACGACGAGCACTTAGTTGAACGTACCGATCCTCATGCGCCGTTGTTACACGAACTCTGCCTGAACCAGGTCTTCTGGCAACACTGACTGCCGGTCTCTTGGAAGCGCTTCCATACATTTTGGACAGCTCTTCGAGAAAAAAACAACTGCAAGCCCACGTAACGCCCAGAAAACGTCCTCCTTGAATCATAGTTATGACTCTGGTTGGTGTAATTGTATCCATGTACCTTCGTACTGGTGTTATGATTAAGGCGAGATGATAAATGAATCAATTTAAATTTGAAAGTAAAACTTTTTTCCTAAAATAATCAAAATAAGAAGACAATTGAAGAAAAACATATCGAAACATCCTATTATTTTTTTTTAAATGATAGCCAATACTTTTCAACTTAGGAACACGAACACCAACATGAAAGAGGTCAAACACCAAGGAGTTTGTAATATCAACGTGATGCTACTAATCAGTTACTTTCAGTTTACTAAAGTGTACTTAATGCAAATAAACTAGTGGCCATTTTGTTTTGAGTAGTATATATATGTATATAGTATTAGATCCGTGCAACTTACCTACTCTTTATCTATATATTAATACGTCAAGCGAAAACTTTGTATACCTTTTTAAAGAAATTAACGAAATAATGAACATGCAATTTAACAGGGTTATAGTTAATGTGAAGGAACGCAGAAAGATATTTTTATTTAAAAAAATATATTTGATTGTGAATTATAATCGAATTATAATTATATTTCGGGCAACTGCAGACCTCTAGTGAAATTTAAATAACCTCACTAAAGTGATGTGAAGGGGGGAGGCGAGGGGTGGGGGGGGGAACTTGGCCTTAGATAATAAGAGTGACAATTTAATTTGTATTTTATAAATGTTTTACAAAGTCAAAGTCGTGTAGGTAATAATTAAAGTATGTTGTTTAAAATGTCTGCCGAGCTGTAGGGTGTTGGCTGTAGGGTGTTGGCGAGGGCGCTGACTCTCACAAGTGGCACATTGATGATGCGTAACGCTACATGCGTACAAATGCGCATGTTTTAGCAAGTATTTGAGTAATGATGATGTGAATGTATTCTATTAAATACTAATGTAGCAATTTATTATATTGTTATAAATATGTGACGATGTGTCGGCACAAAGCAACTTTATTTAAAAAAAATCATATAAGTTATGTGAGTGGAGAGTCTGGAGCTATTGTGTCACAGGATGGTATAAGACGATACCGAGTGAATATCTTGTGTTAAATGAAACAAATCAAACTATTGATCTATTTCATATATTGTATGAAGTACGAGTATTTACAAATTAAATAATCTTTTATGGTGGAAATATGAATACAACTTTATTGAGGATTCAAAGAAATTAATGTTCGAAACATGTAACTCTTGGAATGCATGTAGTGCGCGTGTGTGTGTGTGTGCGTGTGTGTGCGTGCAGAAAGTGAAGACATACATGTTTTATATTGTAACATGTTACAACACAAACATTCCCTACATTGTTGTGATATAACATGAGAAATTATTACGTAAGTGTATATTGCGGCCTGGAGGGCTCGAGTGCTGGAGTGCTGGAGTGCTGGAGTGCTGGACTTTTGCCACAAGGATTTGTACAGACAGTTAATTTTAGTCCATTGATATAATCAATAAAGTGAACCTGGTTCCGTAACATTTTACCAGCTCCAAGCGTCGGCGGCAGCTGCAGATCACCGCACTCGCACTCGCACTCTCACTCTCACTCGATATATTGTAGCAGCTGAATCGTATTTTGTATCCGCAGTGAAATAAATGTCTTATATATTTATATCTTGTTGTTTCTTTTTAACATTAGTCCTTGGTAAATTATTTCAAAGAGAGACCAAAATCTGCTCCTCTTATATCACTGCTGCCGCCCGGACACATCCGCAACTCCATCATCCTGCCATCGGCAGGGAAGTGAACCGAGTACAAAGGTGAGTTGTAGAGAAGAGGGATTGGGAAGCCGGCACTTCTTCCCGCAAGAGAAACTTACAAAAATATAGTAGACTTCAAGTTGAGGCGACTCTCGAAGGTGAAATCTAGTACAAAATACAGGTTTTACTTTTTATTTATTTATTGAGACTAACATCGAGTTAACACAGATACCATTGATATGTATAGTAGCGACGGCTGCGGGTGGGGGCAGCACAAGTTGGCGACGACCACAGCAACAGCTGACGCCGGCAGAGGACGAATACGAAGTAGACAACATTTATTTACTTAAAATAGACTATGTGCATTACAATTATTAAACATAAAAATATACAGAATTGAGTAGATGTAAAAAGTCAATACATTTTGATGTTAACATTTAGAATGGTGTGATGCAACCTGTAGCTGTAGACCAGCTCTGTACAAGAAGGCGCTGGTATCTCTGCCATATGTTTTTATAAATTGTGTAACATTTGTTTCTAAAAATAGTTTTAAATGAATATAATTAAATACATTGTAAGTAACAGAAGGAATAATTTAATCTAGTTTCATATATATCTTAAAAATTCGAAGGAAATACTTTTGCAATTGCGCTAATTTTCATTATATCTATATTTTAAATATTTTGCTCGTAATATTCATAGCAATAAATTGAATAGAATAGTATAACATGTATATATATATTTGTTTAACAAACGCCAATAAAATAATTGACTTTAAAATAAATCAACATTATATTTTTCAAACATTTAACTCTGTAGGATTCAATTTTATTTAAACTAGAGTGAGTGTAAAAGACAAATCTTAACATTAATATAAACTGATATACAACAATATAGATAAGCTTGCTCTAAGAGACAGGAGTATCAGTCGGCTTACTAGTCCCAGGCAGAGCAGGGGAACGCTACACACACTTATCACCTATGTCTCCTACATATGTTATAATTAACTTTGATATGTTATCGATATTCTTGGCCATGGCCATGTGATGTGACACATGACAGATGACAGCTCGACACTTTGATATGTTCAAGTTTCCTTACATCTACTTTATGCTACTGCTGTTACAGATATAAAGAAAGCTACGACAAAAATAATATAATTTAAGCGATGTTTGCAGAATAATAAAAGTTAAATATTATCGAGTCGATGTCACTGACTACAAAGACAATATGAACAATACTTTATATACTGCATTCGCAAGTTATAATTGCAACGACTCAAACAACGCAACTAGGAATTTCAAATATATCTTTCATACATCGTAAGTTAAACTAATGTATTCTAAACAATATTTTAAAACTTTATAAATATTTAAGTCGTTTCTTGGTAATCGCGTGATTGTATAAAACCATTCGATTTAAAATCGCTGTTGATAGAATTCAAAAGAAATACAACAAATGTATACAAAGAAATTGCTAACAAGTTTCCGTCGGACAAAAGCTCTTCGCAAACATATTCTTAATTAAAATATTTAAGTACAATTATATTGACTTACACAAAGACAAATTGTGCATTACATTATGCGGATAGGTTTAACTAATATATATATATATATATATAATATAATAGTTCATCTAATGATAATAGTGCCGAGTTAATTGGCATCACAAGTTTTTATAAAAGTCCTATAGGATTGAATAACTTATTCAATACTACAATTATAACAATAGTATAAATAAACAATATCCGGTGAGGATAAATTGAGACGAAACGACAATTTGCAACTACAACAACGGCCAACGATGGCCAGCATTCGTCTAACTTTTTGGCCAAGTTATTAACTTAATATACTTAGTTTTCATTACACTAAAAGTTAGTCGCTGAGTGACTATAGTACTCGTATCGAAGTACTGACCATAGAACTATAATAACTCTATGATTGTAAACACTACTCTAACACCCAGAATTGACTAACAATACGACATTCAACAACTACGTGTATGTATAATAACAATTTACTTAATTCTACTGATATGTGTATAGACGGTATCTATTAAGAGTATAAAGCCTTTTGTATAAAGATACTATCGGGCACGAAGCGCCACTGCGCCGCCGCCGCTGAGGTCCGCTCCGCCGCACAGCTCTTAAGAGACTTTATCTGCTAACACGCCATAGCGAAATATATTAAAAGTCTTAAAATTGTTGATATGTATACATTTCGAGTTTTTAAATTATTTTTTAAATATGTAAATGCAATAGAAGGGAGACTACAACGGTATAAGAGGCAGCGTGGCCTAGTGGCGGGGGCTCGTATCGAGGAACATGCGACGTATGTCGTCAAGCGCCTCCTGCAGCGCGCGCCGGAAGCCGGCCGTGCTGGTGTCGCGCGAAGAGCGAAACGACGCGATACAGAAGATGACGCTGTCCTTCTTTGGATTGTAACTGCAACCGTAGCCGTCGGGCACCACCGCGCCGTACCCCATGCATGTGCCCTCAGTTGTTGTCGCCACCTGCACAATGAAACCCCCGTCAGAGCATAGTATCAAAATCAAAATGCTCAAAATGTAGCTCCGACAAGCAGTTGTGGAAACATTTAAAGGCCAATGATGATGCGTACGGATCGTAGGTATTGGAGAGGGGGCGGTACCTGACTGGTGCTGAGCTTGAACTCCATCATCTGCTTGTAGGTGGGATCGGTGAAGAGCGGCGGTAGGGCGCCGGCACCGGCTTCACGCGCCGCCTCGCGCAGTCCGAGCAGGTGGTTGTCAATACCGCGGCCGAGGATATTGTCCTCCATTACGGCCGTCTGCTTCCGTGCCGCTTCCTCGAATAGCTGGAGCTTCTTCTGCTCCTGTTGCCGGAATCGGGTTATATTTACACATGTGTATTTATTATACCTTATAAAACTTAAAGAAGAGGTTTCGTGATGCTCACTCCGTGCAGGTCGAAGGAGACCTTGCGGGCGGGGTCGGGCTCGGGCGCGGGGTGATCGCGAGCCGGCGGCTGACACATGGCCTGCGCCCAGGCGCGCGCGGCTGCGTGGGCCGACCTGATGTTGTCGACGCGGCCGCCGCGGAAGCGCCGCAGCGACGCCGACTCGTACGTCGACACTAACCTCCCGTGCAGCCTGGGCACACACACACTATGTATACACAACTACATATTTGCAACATTCACAGTCATGTTATAACGTATATACGTTAAGTTATAAAGTTATAAACTAAATGCATATATATCACCTTTGTTAACCTTCACCTAATCATTGTATATAAGTTAATAATAAAAACAAGAGATTTACTTGAAATATGTGTACTGGAGCGCTAGCTGTATGTAGACGTCGGGGCTGGTGCGGCAGGACTTCATGAACTCGCGCCCGTAGCCCTCGTACGTGTACACCACGAAGTCCAGGTCCTCGATTTGCCTGCGGACATTGTCAGAGCGGTTTCATAAGATCTAACCACGACAAGCGACAGTGCAGCTTGAATGTGCGGTGTGTGCGCGACTCACCGGTCGAGATCCTCGGCGGCGTGGTCGATGAGCCGGCAGAGGTCGGGCGTGAGCTGCCAGCGCATGGGCGCGGGCAGCGGATCAGCGAGCGGTGCAGCAGGTGGCGTGGGGCGCGGGGCGACGGCGGCGCGGGCCAACGCGCGCTCCGCCAGACGCACTACGGCCACGCCCTCGGCCGCACTGTGCTCGTAGCACATGCCCACCATGCCGTCCGATGCTATGATCAGCTGCCCACCACGTTATTCAAAGCATGTTAAATTGTTGTAATCATTTGGTACTTTCTTTCAAATTTTCGGAACGTTCGAGCTCGTGTTCTAAAATATTTTACGTGGTTTAAAATAATGAATTCTAAGGTTTTAATAGCGTTCATATTTTTACATAAGTATTTGTTTTCAATGAGCTTTTTTGGTGCAGCTATCTTGAACGTATTTTCTGTAGATGTACCTGCACGGTCTTGTCGAACCAGCGGTTGGCGGAGTGGTACTGCGAGCCTGCGCCGTGCATGGCGCGCAGCATGGCGGCGGTGTCGGGGTCTGCGCCCGCACGATCGCCGCCCGCCTCATCCACGCACAGCACGCACAGCGCGCGCGATATCTGCTCCAGATTAGCCCGGTTCTGCGGCTCTGCGGCGAGATAACGCATTCATGCCGTTTCACGCAAAACATTTTGACCGCATTCTTGGCAACCGACGCGACAGGCTTTATCAGCTGAATTAAAAAAGAAGGGGGTTATAGTAAATGAGTTCTGCTGTTGTTATAGGTACCTTTATCAAGCTGCAAGCGGGCAGCGGCCCAGATGTCGCGGGGCAGCGCGGTGAGCAGGCCGAGGCGAGGCGCGGCGGGCGCGCCCCCCGCCTCCACCATGGCGTGCAGAAGCTGTGCTCGGATTTCGCCCGGCGCCCGACGGCCACGCGCGCCGCACCGCACGCGCACCGGGTAGAACTAATGTGTTATTTATATAATTTATACCTGCCTCAATTTTATTTATGCTGATATTTTCTTCCATTTTTATTTTCGAAATAAACGTTACTATTTTTAATAAGTTTAAGTTGTTGTTCGTTCGAAAAGACCAAGCGGTCACCTCTACTCGCATTCCAATTTTAAAAGCGTAAGGGTAAATGAAAGCAAAAAAACATGGAATTACTTTCACTTCACGTCTGTCTTTTCAAATATTGTGGTTGCGAGCTCTACCACTGCTAAACTGTACTCATTTTATATTATTGAGGCGTACATAATTTCTACAAGCGACTATGATGAGTTCCTCCTCGTCGTAGGCGTGCGGCGGCGAAGGCGGCGGCAGGTGCAGGCGGTCGCGTCCCGCCTCGGGCAGTCGGCACACGCCCAGCAGCCGGTAGAACTGCTGCATGCAAAGCGGCTGGCCCTTCTCACGGCTCGTGGCGCGCTCCAGCGGCAGCTCGCCCCTGCACACACACACACACACACAGCTCGCATAATTTCGACCACATCGCGGGCTGTCTCTGTTTCGAACGCAAATGTCAATATGATAAATTATTATTCGACGTCGATATTGAATATTAGGATTTCGTAGTGGAGCTAAAGGCGAGGAAGCAGCGAGGTAGTGGGAGTGTATAGGGCACCTGTCAAGCATCTCCTTGTAGTCGAGCAGGTCATCCACCAGCAGCGCGCCCAGCTCGGCAACCTCCTCCAGTTTAGTGAAGCGCCGCCGCGGAAAGATCATGCCGGGGCTAGAGTTGATGGGCAGCGGCAGCCGCACCTTCAGGTACATGTCATCCAGCCACCAGTCTGTCACCTGCTCGCACCACTTTTATTGAGTGATATTTTTGTTATTCGTATCCTCACTCCGGTAGATTTATTACTTACTTGCTTGTGTAGTCTAATCTTATAATGAAGAATGATTGGATTATATATTGGTTTCCATTGAATAGGTTGGGATGCTGCGCTACACCCGGGTGGTATAGACTATATTAATTACTAGATTTTTTAAACTCCTTGCAAACGGAGTCGCGGGCAAAATAAATCGCGTATCCCGTTGTAACATTTTCAGTTTACTTCAACATTTTAGAGTCATCAGGGCCATCGAGCCATGAAGGAGCGTTACATATTACATATGCTCAACTCTGCTGTGAATTCATGGCTAAGATTGTGGGTCGATTTAACGGGAAATGTTTCGCATCATTAAAAAAAATTTAAAGGGCTTAAGGTTTTGGCTGAATGTTTTTTCTTTATTTTATTAAAAAAAACGTGCTCGCCGAATGTATCCAGCTGCAATATGTTATAAACACTGTATGTAGAAATAAGAAGAAGATTTTGGTTTGAAAATATATTAAAATGTTAACTTAAACACACAATATTTTAAAAGTATCTATTGTAAGGCACAGTAGGACTGAGAAAGAAAATGGTCCTCCTCGATCTTTTGCTGGAACTTTCCGTTGTCGTCGAAGTGTTCTTGAAGTTTTTTGGATCGAGCGTTTTCCGGTAAACCTCCCGATTCTTGGCAATCTTGTTGTTATTAGCGCCGGAGAGATATTTTAAATAATATTTTTTAATTTTCGCCGGAGCGTGCAAATCATCGTAGTTGTATAGACCATCGAAGAGGCCGCGCTCGGTGGCCGGCGCCGCGGCCTCCGGTTTTTCCAGTACGTTTGATTTCAACTCGTCCAGCAATAGATTTTGAAAGGAAACAATTTTGTCTTGCCACAGAGTTAACTTTGATTTTTCATCATCTTTCAATTGTTTCTCATATTGTGTGGCATCTCTCCTGGCATTGGGCGGGGCGGCGACCTTTTGCTCCTGCCGCACGTTGACAACGCCGTAATTCCTGAACACGGGCCTTAGCACGACGTGCGTGGCGCGCGGCGTCGCCGGGTATTGCAAAACGAAAGGGACGCGTCGGGCTTTCGACAAATCTTTAAAAACATCCTTCGAGTAAAAACGTCTTTGCGAAAAGAAATCTTTTGTATTTATAGTAAAGAATGTTCTTTGCTTTCGCGTAAAATTGATTAAATGATTTGCTACTTGCTGCGCGGATGTTCGCGACTCGTTTTGTCTCTCAACGCCTGCAGTGGATGCCGTTTTCAGTTTTTCCGTGATTGTTTTATATCTGCGGTTATATTTTAGTATAAACTGATCGTCGTCATCGTCTTTTCTTCCTAGTTTAAAAATATTTTTGAAATCGGTTGTTTGGTGATTAAACTTTTTAAACAAACTTATCTCTGTATTGGACAGCGCTTTCCTATTGTTAGAATTGATGTTGAAAAGGAGCTGCATGTTGGAGTCCAAGGAGACGTCGGAGACGTGTGACGCCGGCTGGTACGAGTTGTACTTAATAATTTTGTTTCCTTTGGTCGTATCGGTCACATGTTTCATTATTGTTCTTGTTGTTGCTCCGCGATTGTTGTTTGAGTTCACATTTGTTTTTTCTTTTGTTTCCATAACTTGATTCGGTTTTTTATTATATGGATGAAATATATTCGGATGGTTGTTGAGCGCAGCGGATGAATGAGGGTTTGCTTCGTCTTTATTTGCAACCATTTTAAATGGATTCGATAATTTTGTTAAATTATTTTTTTGTATTGATAAATTAATATGAGGGTTCAATTGCAAGTCATCGGGAATCATTTCCATGTTATTTATTTTATTCTGTTTCGTGTTTCCAGAACCTTCACTTTGTTTGTTTTGTTTCAAGTCATTTGAATACTCTCTCATTTTATTTTCTGAATAAACTTTATTTTCATTTTGTTGATTTTCACCGCGCAAATAATATGCATTATAAGGGACGGTTCCGTACGTATTTCCAAATGTTGTTGTATCTGTTTTCAAATTATGTAAAACTCCGTATTGGCGAGTAAAGCTCGAGTAGTTAATTTCAGTAATTGGATTTGTAAATAATTTTGTCGAATCATCAGTATCCGGAGCTAAGGATAAGTCATTGTCTGTACTTGTCACCTCGTTTGTTTTAGTACTGTTCGAGTTTGCATCGTGCGAGTGTGAGGCGGAGGTAGCGATGGTTTCTGCGCTCTGCGGCATTTCACTATCGTTGCGTTTCTTAGTTTTGTTAATAGACTGAGCAATTGCTTGCATTGTTTTATTGTCCACTTCAAGGTAATTATCGATGCGTGTATCTGTATTAGTACTCGAAGTGTTTATATCATGACCGAGTCCACTATTTATCGCTTCCAAAGGTGTTTCACTAAAGTCGTTTATGCGCAAATACTGATTTGGTTCTTTTACGATTTTATCAGCATTTTCTATCAATATGTTATAAACTGTCATGGGGTCCATATTTATTATTGATTTATTTGTTTTTTTCAGATTCATGTTCATTGTAGGGTTTGATGAATTTGTGAGAATTATCAAAGGAAAGCGCATATTTCCTGTGCCTTTTATTTTACTTGGATTGCCACAGCTTTCAGGATTTGTTAAAAGAATAACGTTGCTAGCAATTATCAGAGGCCCCTTGCACATGGTATTCGTTTTGTTTAAATCATTTTTACCATTGTTTGTAAATATTATTCCGTCTTCTATTGAATTGTTGTTTGTACTATTCTTAAGCATATTTGATAATGTTTGAGCTATATTTTGTAGGGATTCGTTATAATTCTTGGCGGTGGTAGTTTCACTATCTGTCTCACTAGAATCTCCTAGTGGAGGAGGAGCAACTGAACTTAATATCAAACTCAGGCTTTCTGTGTACTGTCTGTATGTATTGTTATCATAAGAATCTAAAGATCGTGTGTTTTGCAATAAAGGCGAGCTCACACGAAACACGGAATCTATATTATGTGCACTCCTATTGCTAAAATGTGTAAGATTGTCATTGTGGTTATTTATGTTATTGGGTGACATTTTCATATTAGGTGTAGTGTTTAATGAATTTGATCTAAAATTGTCCGTGAAATGTGTGTTGTTATTTAGAGAAGTTGTTCTGGATGTTGCCGCTTCAGGTTCCTCGGTACCATTTAATTCGTTTGCCACTTCATAGAATTCTTCATTTTGGTACGGTGTTGTGTCATGTATATCTTTAACAAATTTCTCATTAGTTCTTAATGTTTTCAATTGGTCAGAAAGATATTGTGTCAGTTTTGAAAAAGGAGGGTTTTCCGTGTTTGTCAGATTATTTTTTGTTGATAAAGTATTATTTACATTGTCGGTATTTTTACCTGCAATAGAATTGTTATTTATTTCAATAGAGTTAAGTATTTGTTGACCACTCACGTTAGGCGGATGGCTCGCGGTAAAATCTTTTAAAGTGCCTTCATAGCTCTCGTGTACAGCGTTTTGCTGATTGCCTTTCGATGGATAAGTTTGAACAGTTGCAGTACTATTAACCTGTGATTTGAAATAAACCAACGTTTTAAACTCATCGTCATGAGCTTTGTATACCTTTTCAATTTTGTCGATTCTCGAAACATTGTCCATCCACGAGGTTAACTTGCCGTCCGAGACATTGATAGCCGTAAATTTTGTTTCATTCGTTTGCATTCGTTGAATTTGACCATATAGTTCTGAAATCGTCTTATTAGCGTTCAAATTGATATATGATATGCTATCATTTGAATTATAATTTTCTTTTATCTTGTCATTAAAATACGTCGACTGAATGCTCGTATTTTGAGTTGGCAATTTTGTGTTTTTTAATTTTTCTTTTAACTCTTGAAAGTAGGCTGATTTTGTCGTTAAATCTATCAGAGAGTTGGTGGTTTTATGCAAGGAATGCTGCAATTGTATATTGCTAACATTACTTAATATCGTTTTTGTTAAATCTGGACTGGCAAATGAGGTTTTATTTAAACGTGATATATTTATTACCAATACCTTGGTACCGTTAGTATCAACACTTTTATTATGTTTGCTATACGACGTTAAGTTATCCAATAAAACCTCATTCGAATGGTGTGCAATTGTTTGCATGATTTCGTTTTCCATATCTTTGATCTTGTCAGTGAGTATTGACGATTTAAATACATTCGGTTGATTAGTCAGCTCATTGGCCATACCATTGTACTCGGATATCATAATTTTCTTTGGTGAATCAACTGTAATCGGGTTCTGAATAAACGGTACTGAAATTTTTGTTGTCTTTTTTTCATGAGACGCATACGAAAATGTTTTAATTTCAGTACTATTCAATACTACATTTTCAGTCTTCGATGGACCCAAATCCAATGAGTCATTGGAATATTTCACATGTTTGTATGTGTCAATTGCTAAAGTTTGTCCAGATGTACTCGCGTTCTGTAACATTACTTTGACTATGTTGCCCGTATCTTTAAAATCTGTTGAATATTTTGTTGTGCTAATAGATGACTTAATAGATTTCATCGTTTTTATTTGTGTAGTCGGTGCTACAGAGAATTTCTTTGATGTCACTGATTTGCCGGCATTCTTCTCTTTCTTAGAAACAGTTTGCTTGTAATTTACAAGCGTATTTGTTGTCGCTGTGTCGGATTTTTTTATTTGTGTCGAATGGGTTAGATTTGAATATTGTACGTGATTTCTTAAATTATTTGAGCTTTGTTCATGGCTTGGAATCTGAATGTCTTTTGTTGTGGTTTCATCCTTATTTTGCATTGAAGACCCTTTATTTGAAATTGTCGGGATGAGCGTTATCAAGACTCGGCCTCGGGGGCTCGTGTATGATGTTGAGTCCAACACCCTTTCGCCGGTGAGATGAGGCTCTACACTTAACGTAGTATTATTTTGTATTGGCTGAGTTGTTAAAACAACTTCATTTAATTCTGACAAAAGTGAATTATCCGATTCTAGTAACATCGGATATGGATATGATAT